GTCATGTAGAGTCTCTACGGCTATTGCCGTTTATAAACTACGGAATTATTTTGAGGGGGATACGTCAAGCTAGGCTGAGTACAATTCGGGATGCATTCATTACCTTATGTAGTAAATTTTGTTATGTGACACTTCAGAAGGACATATGCAGAATTTCTTATATGAAACTTTCGCACATGCAGCTGGACACATATTTGTGATACCCGTTTTATGTGGGTTACCGAGGGTGTACTAGGGATGGGTAGTGGGGGTTGAAATTCGATTTTTTCCGAATTTCGAACATTGCCCAACCATTCGATTATTCGATTCGAAATTGGGTGGTGCAAATTCGATTTAATTCGAATTTTTTCGAATTTTCAACAATTTTTTCCACTGCAATTTTAAAAGTTTGTTTGAGAGCATGATACCTCAAATCGAAAGAGATTCAATTGAACTTACATTAATGTGATTAATTATCCGTACTGCCGGTTTCACTAAAGCAATTTAAGTGAAAAATTATTATCTTTTCTGTCAGTTCCCATATTAAATTTAAATGAAAAAATCATTTTTCACTTAAATTGCTTTTTGAAACTGGCTTTTGCCTTCACAACAAAAAAAAATAAATATCTTTTTCTCAAATATCATAAATATCTCAAAAATGCATCAGATAAAAATTTAAATATTTATCAAATATATCATGTATTTTTTATATCAATTAAAAGAAATAACAAATGTAGATGTATAGAAACTAAGTTCTTGCTTTACAAATACAAAGGAAATTCGCCCATATTTGCATAGTTCTGTTATGTTTATACTTATACAACGAATAAAAACCTCTTACATTTAATGACAATGTATGATTTTGCTTTTTAAGGCGAGATCTTTAAGTAAACAAGGAACAAAATAATAGGTCTGTTCAGCAGTGACCATAAGATCATGTGCACATGGTATTGCATTTGCATATTTCGGCGCATTTGTAAATTCACAACGGTTACCATGGTGGCAAGTATATAATTTGCAAATGCAAATACAAAGCCAAGACCATTTTTTCAAAATCCCGAACAGTCCTATTATAGATTACACAGGTACATCATATGTATACATATATATAGCATTTATGTACTTTAATTTAGTAATTCTAAAATCACGTTTTTTATTATATTTTTTATATACCCTTGAGGTCAGCTGTTTAAAATGTGTTAAGTGTTTGAAATGTGGGTTTATATGGTGCTGGTTATGTAATGTGCTAGACTTTTATAGAACAATTATAAACGTTTAACAACCAAAAGAAAAATAGCCAAAACTGGTCAAAATGTCATTTAACTTAAACAGCTGACCACAAGGTTGTATACATAGATAATTACATATTAAATTCGTGTTTCACACATTTCGCAAACATTATATTTTCAACCGTTTGCACAAGATTCAATAAAAAAAATATACGCTTCATTTAAATCATTTTTCCTTAAAACAATGTATCAATATTTATACTGAGAAAAAATAAGAATACATATCCAAAATTCGTTAAAGTTTCCATCACTTTTGAAGAATTTTTATCGAAATAGAACACTGGAAATAACTAAGTTGTACCACTTACATAGTTCTAAAAAAATCAACAATTGAATGAAAAAAAAATTTTGGATCTACAGTGACCATAAAAATTAGAGCACTTTAATATTTGGACATGTTTGACTTCATTTTCTTTTGTTGGTTCAATGTTCATAAATTGTTTATAAAAAATATATGTAGTTCATTCCTCAACAAATATCATATATGCAAAAAAAATTTCAAACTTTTTCAATTTGTAGCTACTTCAAACTTGCATTTTATAATACCAAAATTGAAACTGCCAACCCAACTTTTTTTTTTAATTTGGAAATTTTGTTGAATTTTACATATATAATATTTTAAAATTAAGTCAAAACATGTCCAAATATTAAAGTGCTATTATTTTTACGGCCACTGTAAGAGTGGTTGTACAGACCAAGACCAAGTCTTGCGCTAATAGCCTCATATGTCCCACATTTCTTCCTCAATTGACCGCAAAAATACTAACATATTTAAATGTTCGGGTGAGAGACGGTTCCTCAACTGGGTTGCTATAAGTCCAGCATGTGAAAATAGTCGCTCACATGGGACTGACGTTGCCATAACTGACAAATGTTTTTGGGCAATTGGAAAAAGCAAAGGAAAATCATTTTTCAACGCCTGCCAAGTTGTTAAAGGGTTTTTGTTTAATTTTCGAGAAACAGCTGGCCTGATTAAATAAGCTCGCAGCTGGTCCGAATTTATTTCCGAAACGTTACTTCTATTGCATTGACTGTTGCTAATGTTTTGATCTAAATATGACCATATGCCTCCTTCGTCCGATGTTTGAAGCTCAGCGATACTTTCCACAGATTCATTACTTTGGGTTTGGCTGGTTATTAATAAGTTACCTATTCAAAGTTTAAAAAACAGAAATAGTTGTTTATGATAAATAGGTATTTGTCTAATGTACCAATAAAAGCAGCAGCCCGCGAACAGTAGATTGAGTTTTCGAAGGCAGCCTTCTTGTACCTTGGATCAAGTATTGTTGCCACACCGTAAATAACCACCGCCTCCAAATTTGCGTAACGTTTTTGGACCTCGGTCAACAGGACGTCTTTTGCTATTTTGCCTATTGCTGTAGTCGGTTCGATGATCATTGTTGCCTGTAAAATATAGATTTATATTTATTTACAGCCAAATTCATTATTAATCATTTTGTTCATCTATTGGTTAATGTCTACA